ATATAAACAAGTAACTCATGATAAATTCCGTTACGATGTATGACTACGAACCATCATTGTTTTGTGAAAATTAGCATATAACGTCATTTGAATACAACAAACTTAATTTTTGTATCAACATGTCTCTATTTGATGAGTAAGTTAAGTTTTGCGTAAAATTTGTGCTTAGTAGTTGTGAAGGATCTAAATTTGACAAATATACGAACCAAAGTGACAAAACGTGTTTAACGATACCGTTAACCGGTTAAATGTCGCAAAATTATACCTTGGTCAATAAATTTTATATTTAAATAAATAAAAATATAAAATGAATTATTATAAGGCATAATTAGAATGTATTTAAGTGTTTTTGAATAAAAATAATAAAACATAAACATTTAAGTTCAAATACACAAAAACTACATTGTTATTTTATACTAAGTATACAGGTATGTATTTGTACATATGTATTATTATGTAGTAGATGAGTAGTTATGGGTTATGACTTAAAGTGATTTTATATAAGGAATACGATGCCTAAATCAATTAATATAAGAGAAATGGTTGAGATAAGTGCCAACTTAACTAATAAGTGCTTAATCACTTAAGAGATTTTACTAAGAATACTTCTTAATCCCTCTTCTAATTTTCGAGATTAACATCTTCCATATCCATCACTAGAACCTCTAAATAACTAAGTAACTAATAGTTAGTTAGTTAACTAATTCTATCTTTAACCAACTAGGAGACCAAGTGGGCTAGGAGATCAAATCTCATCATTTACCCATTCCATCACAATCTAGCCTAATTGATTCCATCTTATCTTCTTCTCTTCTTATCCTCTCTCCTCATTCATAATCTGGAAATATCTCCTCATTTCTCCTTCCATTCTCCAGCAAATAATCCAGGGAAAAGCTCCAAAGTTCATCCCATTTTCAACCACACAAATTTCCTTCCAACTCCACAAAACCGTGAACCTTAAAGGGGTTGCTGTCCCTTGGTGTTTCAGCCACCATTTCACCCATCTACACCTTCCTTTTGCTTGATATTTTCACCACCAAATACCTCTGGAAGTTAGTTGTTTTTCTACTCTAAATTAGGGACTCAAATCAGTGGCTAAACTATTCTTATCTTACCCTTTTGCTGTGAAATTTTCGTGACAGCAACATAGCCAAAACAGTAGCTCTTTTCGAGCATCAAACTAACACCCAAAAGTCCTCCATTTTTCTGCCCATTTTCGAGATTCAAAGTAGACCATATGTAGCTACTTTCAAACACTTAAAACCCCTAAGAAAGTTACCCTTTACCTCTCTAAAAGCTTGTGTTATTGCACCACCTTTTGGCAACATACTTTTGATCCAAGTTGAAGCTAGGTATATTCTTGATTTCTACTCTTTCTTTTTATCATCCAACCCACTGATTTTAAATGATTTATGAAATGATAAAAGTCTAAAATACATGTAAATATATGTCTTTATGTGTTAAGACATCCAAACGAATACTCGAATCGCAAACTTGCGTGGAACCGGAAACCACACGAACCATTCTCAACCCGAATAACTCTACGCGACAAAAGTGAGTTTTCTACGGCCCCTCTTTTTATGTTTTACAAGTTTTGGGGGAGAATACACACTAAAAAAGTTATAGTTGAAGGATTTAAAGGCTTTACTAACTAAAAATACAAGTTATGTCACTAAACATACTTAAGCTCAAATTTCAGCTTTTCACAGTAAAGTTATGGTCTGTTGACGGACTGTTTTTCCCTCCTTAAACTCAATGGATTTCAAAACTGTACAATATGGAAGTAGTTCATGTTAATACCTTTCTAAGGACTACTCGCACGCATTCATACGATTTTTCTACAATTTATAATGATTTTTACAAAACTGTCTATCATTTCAGAACATTTTCGGACCTGTCTGTAAAAATGAGTATTTTCACTCAGGTTGGGAACCACTTAAGCTTAGGATAAAAATTATGGACAAATTAGACTCATTTTCTAAACTTTGAGAGTTTACGGATCCAGATTTCGACTTACGATGATTTTTCTAAAAACATGGACAAAATTGCCCTTTTTGATTTATCTTGCTGTTTGGACTTTCAAATATATATACAAAGTGTTGTGATAAATAAGAAGTACACCGATTATGATATTCTTTAGTTCACACATACTTTAATAGTTACAAAAGTGTAATTATAACAAGTATTTCTAATATGATCATGTTGAAAACCTCATAAGATGTGATGATTTGGACTATGTCGATTTTGGTCACTCACAGCCGGGGTGTTGTATAAACTTTGTTATTCACTTACAGTCGGAGTACTGTCTAAACATATATAAGGTCACTTACAGTCGGAGTACTGTCTAAATAATTGTTATGGTCACTTACAGTCGACGTATTGTTTAAACTCGTATGGGACACATACGACCGTTGTCCCGATCGTATAAGGACACATACGACCGTTGTCCCGATAGAACTTTGGTAGCTTTATATTATTAAGCATTACAACAAAAAGTCTTCAAATTCAAACAATTGAGTATTATAACAACATCAGGGATACAAATATACTAATACAAACTATGATGAGTTTGTATGTAGTATAAATATTGTTTGTAGATTGTTAAATACATTGTTAGTGTCTACTTATACATACACTAAATATTTTGCTTCACAAAAATATGTTAGTATTTACTTTTATCATAAATATTTTAACATGGATACTCGTATTGGTTTTCAAGTATCCTGTCTCAGTAAGATTGTTGATCATGTTTTGTCCAACTTATTTTGTTAAACATTCCATGTTTTATAAAGAGAGTATGTAGTACAAATATTGTTTGTAGATTGTTAAACATATTGTTAGTATCTATTTATACAAACACTAAATATTTTGGTTCATAACAATATGTTAACATTTACTTTTATCATCAGTATTTTAACATGAATAATCGTATTGGATTTCAAGTATCCGATCTCAGTAACATTGTTGATCATGTTTTGCCCAACATATTTTTTTAAACATTTCACGTTTTATAAAGAGAGTATGTAGTATACATAATGTTTGTAGATTGTTAAACCGATTGGTAGTATTTATTTATATAAATACTTAATATTTTGCTCCACAAAAATATGTTAATATTTACTTTTATCATAAATATTTTTACATGGATACTCGTATCGGATTTCAAGTATCAGGTCTCACACAAGCTTATTGGTAACATTGTTGACCATTATTTTGCACAACTTATTTTGTTAAACATTCCACGTTGTATAAAGATTTCTTTTTATAAAGCTCGCGAAGTCAAAACCTGTGGAACTCACCAACAATTTTTGTTGACGTATTTTAAAAATGTGTATTCTCAGGTAACTAAGAAGTTGGAGGTAGGACATCGGTTCTAAGGAAATTATAGTTCCTTTCTTTTGGGAATAGACTTAACTTGTTTACCGTTGTGTGTTTAATATGAATATGTAATTTCAATTTTGAAACTTAAAGGTTTGTAAAATATTGATTCAAATATATTATGTATTCGATATATGTGGTTGACTGTGATCCAATTGTATAACGTCGCAACCCCGGCGATTTCCGCCGTCGGTCGGGGTGTGACAATGGAGTGTAAACTCATATTTGGGTGTTAAAATGCCACTTACACACCTCATAAGCCTTGGAATAAATTCTAGAAGCAACCACCAACAAGTTAGGGACCTTAAACTCGATTAAAACAACTCCATAAGGAGTTCACGGCCGTAAACCCCTCATACATGGGTTCCTGGGCTGTAAACTCCTATAAAGGGGTTAAATGGTGCCCTAAACTCACCCCTTGACTTGTAAAAATGAGTGGAACCACTTATGATTAACCTATGGCCTTCAAAACAAATAATGAATGTGGGTGAGAGTTTACAGCTGTAAACTCATAGTTTACTGCCATAAACTCACCAAATAGTCCATATGTTTGAATTAGTCCCTTTCTAATGCCTTAGAACAAAACCTAGCATCACCCCTCAATTAGTAAAAGGCCATTTAGCACTCAAGAACCTCATCCATGAGTTTACGGTCGTAAACTCATGGTTATGAGGTGTTTAGGGCCGAAATATCTCCAAAGAGTTTACTCTTGAAGAGTAAACTCCTTATCCAAACCATACATGTCCATACATATCACCCGGGTCACTCCAAACACTTGAATTGAAGTGTTTTCGCGACTAGAAATGTATATCCTCTATTAATTAGTGATTTAAATCTAATTAGATACTATTGTGTATCATTTAATATTACATAGGAACCTCGCACGTTTTCAAGCCTCGATTCGACGTTAAACATCCTAGTCGAGACATTTCTAGTCCGGTGAGTTCATACCCCTTAATTAACCTTTTAAATGTTTTTACATGTTTTAGGGGGGGGGGGGGATACAAGTACATTACTACATGTTTTATTATCAAATCATATGTGATTTACAATCTATCATCAAAAGGGATTACTTTACAATTTTAGATACTTGTCAATAAAACTGTTTTAACTAATTATCAAATGCGCCTTTATGGTTAAATTATTGTTAATCTGTTTTCAAAACTATGTTCCAACTACTTTTCTTTTTAAAAATATATCTACATAAATATGTTTATATAAATAAGACTTGAAGGACTTAGGATCGATAGCTGGCCTTATTTCCTGTTCTTGTTTGATGTGGTTTTAAGGTATTGGTTGTCCGTCCGACTGTCGTTGAATTCTTAATAATATATTATATATATATTTGTGTAGATATGAATGTTTATATCTTATTCATTACTACTATTGATCAGAAGCAGGAATTCACATACTCTATTTAACTATAATAGGTATAGTTAAGACTACAACTAGTTACCTCTACTACTACTATACGTACCATAAACTGTTAATATTACAAGCTAATGCAAGTATAAGGGAACACTCTACTTACTACACTAAAAGACTATCATACTAAAGCATAATAGAATTCACTAATACAAAGTATATCACACTATCTCTCTCTATAAGGCACTCTACTATACTTACACCATGTGACCATGGCTTCCCGAAAGGAAAGCAACACTATATGTATAGATCTATACGGAACTAGCACTATAACATCCCGACTGATATCTACAATCCGAGCCGATTAGGCCCAGGGGTGACACTACATTACTTCACTACGCATGACCGGGAGGGTCGTCGGTACTTTACTACTTCACAATTGGTCACATGAGAAGTTAAACTTACATCCAAATAAATACACTAAGACTTAAAGTCTGAACTAAAATCCCGAAGTAATTAATGATCTATTACTAACTAAAGTTACAACACTACTACTATTAGTAAGCATAACTTTTCTTTAGCCATATTACGTACATGAGATTTATTACTACACTTTTACAATGGAAAGTTTCAACAATATTACTTTTACACACCAGAAAGATTGACATACAAATGTACTCTCTGGAAAATATAAGATTTTCTAGAGATTTCTACTACTCATAAATATAAATTTCAGTTGTTATACTATAAATTTGCAAACACTTTTATACTACAATGACACTAAATTCTTATGAACTCACCAGCTTTATGCTGATATTCGTTTTTAAAATAACTTGTATCCTCAGGTCAAAGATAGACACGTATAGGGCAGCTTTTGGAAGAAGATGGAGCATATACAAGACTCATCTTTTGTTTTGTTATACTTTTGGTGTCTATTAACTTTACAGAACACAATTGTAATTATTATCACTATATATATATATATATATATATATATATATATATATGCAATGGTTGTTGTTTCTTGTTTTTACTATTATGCAATTGTAATGATATTGTACATGACGTCCTCCACCCCAGAACGTATTCCGCCGTTCTCGGTTTTGGGGTGTGACAGGTGGATGAATTGGAAACAATTAAAAGAGAACATGAAGTTATGAAGCAAATATTGATTGAGAAAAACATCATGCCTCCTCCTCTTAGCACATCATCAGGACGATCACATGGTGATACATCCGAGTGTGGTACATCTAACCACACTCATTCGGGACAGTCTCATGATGAAAATATGGATATATATGATGATATGCAATGAACATTCTAGAATTTTTAGTATTTTCAAGTAGCTACTCATGACTAGTTGATCTCTTAGTAGTTTAAGTATTTCAAGTTTTGAGACTTAGTAATTTTTTTGGTTTGAAATATTATGTTAGACAATTTTCATTTTATAATGCTATTTCGAATGCATGTGTTTCTATTTATACAAATGTCTGCATTTATTTTGTATTACCTACACATGTCATTTTTAATACCCACATATAAAAATATTTTTACCAACACATATCAAAATCAATGCCTACAGATAAAAATACTCTTACCCACACATATTTTAATGACATGTGTAGTCCACATCATTGACCACATCATCAGCCAAGTCAGTGTCCACGCCTTTAGCCACATCATCAACATCCCAAACAAATCAGAATGCATCTACCTACACATATGTACTACTTTTAGCCACACGTATATGTGTATGTATAGATAATCTTATATCTACACATAAATTATGTGTCGGTAATGATCTACATCAACAGGCATGAGCCTACACATAGTTACACTTAATGTATGTGTAGGTAATAATGAATACCATCACATATGATGCTTTTACCCACACATAATATGTGTAAGTAAAGATCCAAATTTCTTTTAGTGATAATACACAACACTTTTATTAAAGTGATAATAGATATACATTGAAATAAAAAGTACAAAGACAAAAAGTTTCTCATCGAATCAAGCTCATCACATGGATTCCAATCAATTCTATTTTTCTCATCCAATAAACACAACAATAATAACAGATGCAAATAAAACTAAGAAACTGAAATTCTGAATGAGAACCTTCACTCGGATTAACATGTTGGATATTCTTTTGTATAAATAAGTTGAATTGCTTTGAATCATGAAGCTTAAATGGCTTGATTATTTTAAAGCTGTTTTTTCCTTTAAATATATCATCTTATTATGTTAAGTGTTGTTTATACGATTGCTTTTTTGCTTTGTAGTAGCTTTGTAGTCCCAAACGTTGAATTTCGAAGTATTCACATGTATTTGATTTCCATCTGTTTTGCTTTTGAATTGATTTCCATCTTTTTTGCTTCTGAGTTTTTAGTGATTCTTTTTCGATGCTCGAATCTACGTACTAAAAGGCATCCCGACGAATGATGTTCTTTATTATTATTTTGTTTGTTTGTTTGTTTGTTTGTTTGTTTTTTTGTTTTTTTTTTTTTTTGTTTGTTTTTTTTTCCATTATTAATAACCTAATAAGGTTAACAATAAGGAATATCAAAAAACACATGTAAATCAGTGCTTATAAATTGGTTTTCTAAGTTTGGATTAATTTTTATAATAAAAATGAAACATATTCAAGAAGGTAGTATTTATATATATATATATATATATATATATATATATATATATATATATATATATATATATATATATATGTATATGTATATATATGAAGGTTTTGCATAGATATGCATACTTTTAGAAAGACTACAATATACTTCATAAAAGTCTTTTTATTGCTAACTCTAAACTCATATATGTCATTTTTTAATATAAATGAAGCCAAATTGCATAATAAAAATGCTTAAAACCATAGTTTTCTTCCATGTCTTGTTTCAGTTTACTTTATGATCCAGTTTGTTGAGATCCCGTATGTGTTCTTCTATGTCTTTCATATTTTGAATTATACTCGAAGCGTATGGGACACAATGCATAATGTCTTACATAAAGATATGCTACATTATCAATCTTCTGCCATAACATTTTATGTGCCACGTTCTCACAATTCGAACTATGAAGAGGGATGTCGTAATCATAATCGAATTTTGAGAATGCACTGTGTATCCTTGACTAAATTTATTAACATTTCTCGATCTAAGCTTTAGATTTTGAAATGAAGTATAATATTCTCTCCCTTAATTATAGCAAAACAACTTTTCAACCCCTACAGCTTTGCAAAGTGAATCTTTGTTTTCTATAATTAATATTGCTAACTTGCAATACTTAACATAATAATCATGCTCCCACTAACACGATGATTATTTTCTTACCAGCATAACACTTATGCTCCCACTAGCTTTAACATGTATTCAAAAAACAGCTAAACTTCTAGAAAACAATGCTTATTGAATTCCTTAAGTTCACATTTCTAATACATGATGCTTTGATAAGCCTTTATCTATCTTCTTAAACTCATACACCTTTGGCTTAGAAGACTCACATGCGTGTCTAAATAAATTCAGAACTTATGTTACTAAGTCCCAAATGTTGAGACTAATTGCCAAATCTCACAATCCGAATTATGAAAAGGGATGT